CTTGATTCTTTGGCTACAGGAAAGGGAGAATAATAAAACAAATACATGATCCTTTTGCAATTCTATTAGAGTAATCCTCTTTGATTCAAGCCATATTCCGCCATTACAGCTTTTAACTTTAGAATAGACAACCGCAAAGAACAACAAAAGGAGACTAAGAAGTGAGAGCAGAGTAAGAACAATTCTGAATTTTACCTCAGCTTGTTAAACTCTTATCGCTTTCCACCACTTCCCCGGGCACCTTGGTGGACGTCATGACTGCTGCCATGGGCATTGACTGGCAGGGTCAGTCCTGTCATTTCTTTAGCTTCGCTCTCATCCATCCTTCATTCAGCGGCAGCACCAAGCAAGGTATACATCCTTGCAAAATATTTTCAAGTCATAGAAACTTATAACTTTAAGTCCTGTAGACATCCTGACCACAAACATACCTTGTGTGTTAGGAGTGGAAGCTGGACTAATTTTTTTTCTACTTTTGCTTCTGCTAGCAGCTTCTTGTCCATCACTGTTCTTTCATCCTGGAATACCTCCCTCTGGCTTATAGTCTCTGTTAGCAGTCCAGAGTTAGGCTGGTCTTACTCACCTTTCCCCTTCCTGCCTCAGCTGCTATTGTCGCTACGTAAAGTTTGTATTACAAAAGAATAGGTTTTCTAAAGGTCTTCAAACAGGTAATCAGCCACTGGGTACTTCAGAGGTTGAAACCTTGCTTTCTCTCAAAGCGGTGTTTTGTATGAGGATTTTCTGTCACTGCAACAGTACTGTGGGTCCGTGCAGCCTGTGCAGTGGGATGCAGTGGGGCTGCAAGTGTTCAGGGAGCAAAGGATCAGCTTTGGTAGAAATGTACTTCAGTTTACTCAGTAAAATTTAGTGGGGCATATTACACTTTGACAGCACGGTTCTGTGGAGGATGATGTGAGTGCACACTGTACACGGTTCAGTATGTGAGTAATGTCTGACACTTGCTGCTCTTGTATACTTTATGCTATATACCTTCCCTTCTTCCCTGCTCCTTCCCACTGAGGTAACTCTTGCTGTCTTGCAACGGGCCTCAAGCGCTGGAAGGCATTACAGGCTGCACGCAAAGTGCCTATTCAGGCTGTCTGTTTGATATTTTGGCATATTCTTCTCTCTCTGCTCCAGAATTCAGTGCAGGTGCAAAAAGCGCATGGCCATGGTTTTTGCTTTCTGCCTGTACTCCAGTTACACCAGGTGATATGAAGGTGTTCTGTGGAGGTGTGTCTCAACTGGAAAATAGTATTGTTAAAAGTAACAGTACCTTAACTCACATATCTCCAAGCATAAGCCACCTAAGAAGTAAGTATTCTCCTATGAGGGAGCTGATAGCACGTTATACAACAGGAGGAGCAAAAGCCTATTTAGAGAAGACTATATACTTGATGCCAACAAATTAGTAAGAAAGCTGAGAGAGCAGGTTCCCTGTCCTAGGCTGTTAATGACAAGCCATGCTTCTCTTCATTGTTGGACTGTGGGTGGGCTTATGCTGCATAATGGAGCTAAACCTGCTCGCTTGTGTACGGAAGCGATCCACCAATAGCAGGTTGGATTTGGAAAATCAGCTTGCACAGAGCTCTCTGCTTCCCCAGCACTCATTCTTTAGGATGGATTGTTTTGCCATAGAGTGCTAAAGAGGAACAATTGGGAAGAAAAGTAAGTACAGCTGTAATGTAGTCAACACAAGAAGACTGAGAAGGCTGTCTGCATTTTGGTAATGTCTGTCTTTACTAGGTCTTACAAAGCTGCTACAGCACTGGAGTGAGAGTGGAATTCAGTGGATTTTTGCGTGACTGGTGTTAGAGCAAGAGATGTTGTTTTGCTGGGAGTTGAGAATGTACGGAGCAGCTTTGCTCTCTCTTGGTTTTTCTGATTCCTTTATGGTCTGAATGAGTAGAGAGGCAGCCCAACAAATGAAATTTGCATCTGAGGGCTGATTTATTTCTCTTGCAACAGCAATGGAGAGGTAATAGAGGGAAATTCCCCTGGAATACTCCTGCAAAGTCTGTGCTTGCAGGACAATTAGAACCCACAGATTTATTTCAGCTGACCCGGCAGGTATGGTTGTTGTCATGGCACATCATCAAAGCTAGGTGGCTTAGCAGTGCTGTAAAGTTGCATCAATTCATGTTTCATGGATGGTGCATAAGTGTCTTACATGGGCAGGCGTCAAAGTCAAGATAGTTAGATACAGTGTTTTAACGTCAGCCTTCTTTAGTGTATCACGTAATTTCACGAGCCAGGGAGATATGGCTGCACTGAGATGATGTGGATCCTTCCTGTGCTCGGATTCTGGATGATCGTCAGAAAGGGCAGGCAACCAACTCAGGAACTGCAGTCCTGCTAAGCCAGCCAAGGGGAAGTGGTAAAAACTCAGAAATGGCTATATCTTCCTTCCTCCTACAATCACAGCAGTTAAACTAACTCCCTTTAGCTCCATTAGCATGCTGCAGTTTTCAGCATGAGCTCTCAGCATGTTTGCAATGGCAAAAATTGATGTATTATCACCTCATGAGTCAATGTATTTTATTAGCCTGTGGATTTCCCTGATTTTCTTTATGGAAGTGCTGAAGAGAGCTACATTGCCTTTCTTGGTAACTCATAAGAGCTCCTCCTTGGTGTGCCTCTGAAAAAGAGGCACTTTTAAGTCCTGCTTCTGAGTGTCTCTTCAGCAGGTAGAGAGAAGCTTGTGTTCCTGTCTGTTGTCTTTCTGCTGTTGGTTCTAAGATGCTCTGCTATTTTCTCCATTTCTGCCTCTCCAGCTGTGGGTCTTCAGGAAACAAAGGGCAGGCCAAGGCGTGGACAAGGAGGATCTCACATGCAAGAGCTCAGATATTATTCCTCTATCTCAGCAAAACCAGAATATTGTCCCTTGCAATACAGAAATCCGCTGTGGCTGTTGGAAACATGCTAGTCTTCAAATGATAGCCAGCTCATTTCCGAAAGGGAGAGAGGCCAATGACTGTGTTCATAAATGTCATAAAAACAAGCCACAGGATGTGTTTTTATTCTCTCCTGTCATCCTGGTCTTCACATAGAGTTTCAAGGCTCTGAAAAATCCGGCCACTCCCTTAGCTTCCTGGGGAGATTTTTTAAATTTCTGCTTGTCCATAGGTGGCTCCAGGGGCTTGCCTTGTATTTTGGCTCCCAAAACTAAGCCGAACTTATTCCCAACCTCTTCTTCCTCCCCCACAGTGTTTATCGCACTGTACATTGACCAGATGCTGTGACTGAATGCCAGGCTGCTTCTCAGCTAAGAATTATGATGGAGAGAGTTTCAAGTAAAACCTTGGGAAAAATGTTGTGCAGTTTATTTGCCTCTCCCTACTGTGTGTGTTTACTTGTTTTGAGGATCCAGATGTCTCTGGATAGGGGCTACCTTTCTAAATTGTATCCTCATTTGTAAAAGCTATCAGAGAAGGGTAGTGGGGAATCTCTGTTCTCTATCTAAGCTCCAGTGCTTGTTTTCTGCATGTTGTAGCCTCCCCTTCAGTAGTGATTTAAATTACCATGGCAGTAGTGTGCGGTTTTTATTTTTTTTTCAGGCTCTGTAGCTGCGTTTTAGAGGCAAAACTGGTCATACTGAAAGGTCAAAAGAATTTTCTCCCTTCTAGTTCCCAACAGAGACATTTTCAGTGACCATTTAAATATATATCCTACCAGTTTCTGAAACAAGGTTGGTGACAGTCTTAAGGTGCATTTTATAAGGTGCCTGGGTTCGTATTTCCCCATAAGCTAGAATGCCCCAAACTCACACCGGAATCTGGCTGCCTGCAGCATGCAGCTGTCTCCCTCTCACTGCTGGGGAAGGAATTAGGCAGCAGCTGGAGGTGTCTCCTGGAATAAGTCAGAGCTACCAGTGCCAGTGTAGCGTGTCTGACTACCTATCCACTAATTTCCATGGACTGAAATGCTTTATTCTTAGGAGGAAAAAGGCTCAAGTCTCAGCCTCGTTTCAACATCATTTCAGCTTTCCTTGTTGGCATACTCATTACATGGAGAAAAGATGGACTAGCTTACTGCAGTTTTTAAAGAATTCGTCTTTAGAAAGAGTTTCTTCCCTGGTTCTCTGTATGACTGAGGAATAACCCCTTTCCCACTGCTGCTGCAGAGCACCAGACACCACTTAAACGACATGACATAACAGTGCCTATTCAGTGATGGCTTGGCGTTGAATGGCAGCGTTCGCTATTCGTGCATCTTCAGCTGTTGCTTTTCCTCCTGCTTCTCTTCTCCTCCTCTCTGATATTGTTTGTTGTCGTCCACAGAAAGAAAATGTGAGCCAAATAACGTCAAACTTGTAATATCACAATGAGTAAGAAATGAAGCAAACTGAAGTTGCCAATTCTGTAGTATTGCCTTTTTTTTGTGGTGCTTGTCTGCTGTGGAATTCTTGTGTATAAATCAACCATTTGAAAAGCATTAAATATGCTGAAAATACAGCACAGGAGTTCAGATCGTATAAATAGATACAGCAAGAATGTTGCATCTTGCCAAGGACGTTTTCAAATAATGAATGTGTCTTGCGTTAAATGAATTTATTCCCTTTCTGAAGTCTAGATGTTGCTATCACAGAAACTGTCATGACAGCTGACACTCACAGCTCTCCTGCTGGTAACCTCAATGGGAGGGAGCCCAAGGGTCAAAAGGACCACAGAGATGGCCTCTTGCCCTCTAAAGGGGATCCTTCTGGGATTAGGCAGAGTTTCAGCAACTGGTCTGAGGAGAACCAGAGCTACTGAGGGTATCAGTCTCCAGGAATCTCTTGGCACCACTTGTTAATGCTAAAGAACATTTTTAGAAAAAGTTCCTCTCTCTCAAAAGAGCCCAGCTAAAAGGAGGCGATTGTAAGACCTGCGTATTTTGCCTGCTTTAAATACGGCATAGCGCGTGTCTGACTCGGCGAGCAGCTCTGGCTCCTCAGCATGTGCTTGACACTGTTGGTGAGAGCACCCGCTTGTCGGGGGCCTGTGCTTCCTCTGTTCTAGGTTCTCTGAGCCAGACCCCAGCCACACGTTGGAGGAGCGAGTGGTACACTGGTACTTCAGCCAGCTGGACAACAACAGCAGCAATGACATCAACAAGCGGGAGCTGAAGCCTTTTAAGCGTTATGTGAAGAAGAAAGCCAAGCCCAAGAAATGTGCCCGACGTTTCACTGACTACTGTGACCTCAACAAGGACAAGTCGATCTCACTTCAGGAGCTGAAGGGGTGTTTGGGAGTCAGCAAGGAAGGAGGTGAGTGCCTTTCCTTCCCCATTGCATGAGAATAAAAGAGTTGACATGGAGTTAAAGCAAACTCAGGAATTGGTTTTCTCCCAGGTAATTCAAAAGTGCGGCAGTTTGTGTGAGAAAATGAGTGGGATTATTACCCTGCCATGCCAATGTAGTTCGTTATTTGTGTTATGGCTCTGTCTTATATCCCTTATCACGGACCTTTATGCTAAGCACTATACAGAAACAGGGCAAAAAGATGAGCCTTGCCCAGGACCCTGCTTGTACTGTAGAAGTCCTTGGAAACTGTAGTTTAGATCAGGTCCCTTCTGAGTAATACACTGCTAACAATATTCTGTTGTCTCAGCCATGTAGGTTGGATGATGTATGAGCCAGCACAGACCCAGTCCTTCTCCAGAGACCCTGTTGACTAACAGAAATAATATTTATTTTCATTGCTAAATCCAGCATGCAGGAAAGTGGATGACGCAGAGAGAGCAACTCAGAAAGAAAGTGCAGGGCTGTACTGTTGCCCTTTTTCAGAGTTAAATTGGGGAGAAATAGGGCATATGAATAACGTATTTTCCTTTCTGTTTAGTGCCTGAGCAACCAACCTACACTCCTTCCTTTTCTTCCTCTTTCATCTTCACTTCATCTTCTATTGGGACTCGGACCAAATTGATATTTTGGGAAATTTTATGAATTGAAACTGTTCAACCCAAATTCAATAATTATCAGTCATTCTTGACTGTGGGCAGACTTGCTTGGCAGGAGAAGGCAAACAGGGAGATTCCAGGGGACTAATTTCCTGTGCAGGTGTTTTGGCTGTGCGGACAGCTCTTGTTATAACCGTCGTGCCAGTTGGGAAGAAAACCTTTCCTTAGTTCTTTCCTTGGGTTTAGCATGAGTGGGAAGGGAGTCGGTGCATTTGGGTGTTGGGAAGTTGCCTTTTCTAGGTGCTTTGCAAACATCTTAGTTGTTACAATAAGCCTGTTGCATTACTCGTCAGCTGTGAGAAGCATTCGGCTTCCCTAGCTCGGTGGAAGTTTTTTTCTTAGTCATTGGTACCTTACTGAGGAATGACATACCAAAATAGCAACCCTGTTCCTTAATTTTATTACCTTCCCAATAAGATGAATATGCCAAATGAGTTTTATTGCTGTTTGGCCTGGAATAAAACTCTCTGGAATCTGCTGCCTTGGCCAACCAACTGTTCAAAATTTAGTTTATAGAAGGAGAAAAAAAAAAAAAGAGAGAGAAGGAAGAAAATTTGAGGTTTTGAGCCTGTGTGAAGGGGAAAGAAAGCAGCGAGATGTTGTTGTGTGTGCCCGATTGCCCAACTACTTGCTGAGAACACAGCCTTGACCTTTCATGGTTTCTTCCATTGTTTGTGGACAGGATTGTGTGCAAAAAGGGGCTCTGACCTTGTTTTATCATACAGCTCCACATACCTACTAAAGGCCTGATAGGCCTTGAGGGTCAAAGATATATGGGTAAGTTACATGGAAGGAGGACTGAGGGGGGGGGCTAAAGGATGGAGAGGGCTAAAAAGCAGTAGAGGGGGCAGTGCAGGGAGCAGGTACTAACATGTAGGAAAGAACTGAGGGAGAGTACTCTAGAGGTGCAGTAAGCAAGTTTGTGATGGATCTTTTTTAAGAAGTCATGAATTTGTGAGGTGGTAGGTGATGTATTTGCTCTGCTTTCTATTTCCAAGAACTTCTAAATTAAGAAATAACCAGTAGCTTATCCCTTCTCCAACTTTCCCTTATCCTGATCATGGGTGCATGCAGCCAGTCAACTAGTCCATGTATTTGCTCTCTGTTTCTTTCTCTGTACCATGGCCTCCAAACATCTGCTGGGGCTGAGGTCACTGTGGGTCCAAGCCAAGACCTTTTTGATGATGTATTGTCAGTTGTAAACTGCCAGTCAGATGAAACCAAAACTTTTCATGGAAATGTTCATTTCAACAAAAGCTTTGCTGGAAAGGTTTTTCTGGTCTGGACGGGATGAGGAAGGGTTGGAGGGAGGCAAGGAAAGTCGTCGTCTCCCCTCAATATATTTCATTATAAAGGAACTTGTCTCAGATGTTCCAAATCCTGGTTGGGTATCCAGCAGCAGCATAAGGACTAAAACAAAGTGGGCCATCATTCCAGCTGAGTGTGTCTCCTGCTAGGCAAACTGAACACTTGTAATGATTTTGAAAATAAAACTTAATACAAATTTTGTAGGGTTTGCGATGCTGAGGAAAACAAATGTTAAGGCTTCTGCATTTTTGTCAGTGTTTTGCTTTTGGGGTTGTTTTTTTGTGGCCAGTTTCATCCAGACATGGAAATCGTGTTGCTCGAAGGAAGCACAGGGCATAGATAGATCAGCACTGTCATATGCCTCTTGGGCACTAGATAGTCTAAATGAATAATATTTATGTGGGAGGATTCAGCTGGGATATTCATGAGGACAAACCTGAATCTGAGCTCGTTCCAGCTTTGGATCAAATCTGTCTGAGATGCACAGTTCTGTCTGTCCTCTCCTCCTCAGCAGGTTCTTGATGCCTGTGGTAACCTAATATGTGGGTGCTGCCAGCCAGTGGTTCTTCAGTGAGGAAAATACCTGTCCAGTCTGCCAGCAACCCTTCCGCTTTTCCATTCTTATGATGACCCAGAAAGTTGCTGGGAAATCTGCTAGGTCTGGTGGCCACTTTGCGCAGCTCTTGTCCCTCTGCTTAAACCAGATGTGTTTCTATCAGGGGCAACTCAGATGGAAAAATGCCATTCCTGGATCTCAGAATGGAGTAGCCACAAAGAGCCAGCCTTTGAGGGCTTGCAGAAGCCTGCAAATAGTTTCCTAAACTGGGGCAGAACAGGCAGAGAGGGGTTGTAGGTTGGAGTATGCCAGAAACAGCCTGTGCCATCATTTGATCTAGGATTGTCTGAGGAATTGTAGAAGGAAAACAGACTGATTTACAGCCTGTTAAAAGTTAGCATTCATCAATGCAGTCTGTGCAGCCTGAATTAAGGGGGGGAACCATCTGTGATCAAAGAATAAATTTAGCTTTATGCATTAGTCAAAAGGCAGGGTCCTTGAGAGGAGATAGACACGCACTGTAAAGCTTTGCTGGAAAGTTACTGGACCCAAGATTAACAGGAGTCCAGTGATGTTGGAGAGGAGGACTGTAGATGTGAGCAAGGCTTGTACTAGTTGTGCTGGCTGCAAAATGCTGGAGTTGAGTTTTACCTCTATATTCTTCCAAATTCAGAAGACAAAGTCAGCATTTTGTGTGCGCCCAAAGAGGAGCTAAGGGATTAACCAGTGAAGAAATGTCCCTCTGCCAGCTGATGGGAAGTTTCCTTCTGCCAGTTCAGATCCCGTGATTGCTTTGCCATCCAAGAGCTTGTCAGATGGTAGGTGTTGGGCGCACTTCACAGGCCATGAGGACTTCTGGGGTGGATCCCAGCCACTGTCTGTGCCAACAGCCAGCTACCAAGCGCACAGTCCAGAAACAGGATCAAAATGTCTTAGTTAAAAAGGGTGTCTGTGTAATTGAACAGCATGTCACTTTCTACTGGAGCTGAGCAAATACTGCAGAAAGAAGGAAAAATAATGGACGATCTAAACAGCAGATTTCATTCAGTGATGTTTGGGACCCTTCTTACTGGTATCTGCAAAAGTAACTGGTTCTCTGCGTGCTTGGGAGGCTTCTGGGAATGAGGATGCTCTATATCACTGCTGTGCAAGCAGCTGTGTGGGAGCAGGTGGCAAGGAGCAGTCACTTGAGAAAGGCCTCTGGACTGATGATGGTAGAAAGCTGACGACAGTCTAAGAGGCTATGAGAAAACTGTAACCAGGTAATGACTGAGTTAATAAAAAGGATATTCAGGGTACATGTAATTACAATTAGATTAGAATGTAAATGAGCTCCACTGGTTCACTGCTTGTTTTTGTTTGCCTTGTTCAGATATCCCCCTTTGGAGCTCACTAGAGATGCTGTAGTTAGTCACCTTTAATAGAATCATAGAATGGTTTAGGTTGGAAAAGACCCTTAAGATCATCGAGTCCAACCGTTAACCTAGCACTGCCAAGTCTACCACTAAACCATGTCCCTAAGCACCACGTCTACCCGTCTTTTAAATACCTCCAGGGATGGGGACTCAACCACGCCCCTGGGCAGCCTGTTCCAATGCTTGACCACCCTTTTGGTGAAGAAGTTTTTCCTAATATCCAACCTAAATCTCCCCTGGTGCAACTTGAGGCCATTTCCTCTTGTCCTATCACTTGTTACTTGGGAGAAGAGACCGACCCCACCTCGCTACAACCTCCTTTCAGGTAGTTGTAGAGAGCGATAAGGTCTCCCCTCAGACTCCTTTTCTCTAGGCTAAACAACCCCAGTTCCCTGAGCTGCTCCTCATAAGACTTGTGCTCTAGACCCTTCACCACCTTCGTTGCCCTTCTCTGGACACTCTCCAGCACCTTGATATCCTTCTTGTAGTGAGGGGCCCAACACTGAACACAGTACTCGAGGTGCGGCCTCACCAGTGCCGAGTACAGGGGCACTATCACC